TTGCAGTCTATTGTTGTTCCAGCTGAACACTGGACACTCTTCTCAGGTTAGGGGAATAAGTGCCCAGTGTTTGGAGGCTGCTGGAATAATGACTGTCATTTTAATGCCTTCCTCGGAGCTGCCCTGATCTCACCAAGAGCAGGGGAGGGAAGAGCCAAGGGAGAGCTGCTGACTGCACCACACGGGGCTGAGAAAGGCAAAATAATACAAAGGCAGAACAAACATCCTTTGTGTGCTCCTGTTACTGGGCTCATTGTCAGCACCGGCACAAATGGGAGGGGAAATGTGCACCCAGCAAAGGGCTTTCCTTGCCCTCCCACCCCTGGGTGGAGCACAGGTTCTCATCCCAGCCCTGGAAGTGTCCAAGGCCAGGCTGGATAAACTTGGAGTAACCTGGGATGCTGGGAGGTGTCCCTGCCCACGGCAGGAGTTGGAACAAGAGGAGCTTTAAGGTCCCTTCCAACCCAAACCAGTCTGGGATTCTGTGGTTCTATAAAGTCTCCGAAGGCTGGGCTGGCAGGAAGTTTTTCCACAACATCCCCCCTTCCCAGGGTATCCCTGTGTCTGCCTCAGGGATCCCCAGGTGCTCCACGTGGCTGTGCCTGTGCCTGGACAACAACTCACCAAGGAGCAGTTGGAATTGTGCAGAGGAGGGATGGGAACAGGGCATCACATCCCAGGGGAATGCCACCCAGCTGGGAGGGAAGAAGGGAATGCCACCCAGCTGGGAGGGAAGAAGGGAGGAAGTGTCCTCATTCTTGATCCATCTCTGGGAAGCCGAGGCATTCCAAGAGGGTCAGAGCCGGACTGGGAGCCAGTCTTAGGCATTTGCCACAGGATCATTTGTCCTGCCAAGCCTCCTCCCGGCTGTGCATGTTCCAGGGGGGGACAGTGACCTCCTGGCTGCCACAGTCACGTTCCTGGCGCGCTGCATTCGTTGTAATCACGGAAGGCAGTGACACAGGAGGAAAAGAAATTGCAGAGTGAGGATGGACTGGCTCCCTGGGGATCCCAAGCTCCCTTTTCAATCATGCCCAGGGCAGTGGCTGCCCTGGGCTGATGGTCTTGCTGTTTGCTACAGGGCTCCCGTAGATTAATAGGAATTGATTGTGCTCCTTTCCCTGCAGGATCTTGACCTGAGCTGTGGGAGGCAAATGTGCAGGGAGGAGAGCTCTGGCCTTGCTCTGTCCCCTCATCACTCACCTTCTGGGGAGAGGAATTCCTGCAAACTGCTCTTCCTGCCGGGCAGGGACCACGGCCCATCCCAGCACTGAGCAGGATGTGGCCCCAGTCCCCACTGCAGGACTGATCCACTCAGGCTGTGCTCTGCACCTGTGCTGGGGAGGGAGCTTGTCACCCCAGGGAGGGTTTCAGACCAGCAGCTGAGTGGCCAAGGAGATGTTCATTTGGTGGTCAGGGGCTGATATCCTTCCCTGCCCCTCCCTTCTCACCCTGGGAGGATTCCCAGCTGCCCCAGGGAATTCAGCATGGTCCCTGGTGTGTGTTTGAGCATTTTCCCTCTGACTCCCCAGGACAGCCTCAGCTCACTCCCCATTTGCTCCCATGCACTTCTGAGGACCTGAGCTGTAACTGCTGAATAGGACTGTTCATTTTGCCTTGCAAACAGAAGTGTTAATCTCTCTGGGGATTTAATAAGAAAAAAAAAAAAGCTTTAAAAGAAGCAAACTATTCCCTCCAAGCTTTCCACTCTTTCCGCTGGGAAATGGGGGCAGGAGGCTGTTAAAATGCTAAGGAAAAAAACCAGAGCCCCTTAGCACTTGTGAAAAGCAATAAAGCAGTTAGTGCACCACAGCTTTGCTTCCAAAGCCCTGCCACGTGCTGGAGGAGAAAGGGGACAGTTTCTCTCACCTGTGATGCCTAAAATACCTGTCCCGAGAACTGCAGGGCGGGGAACCAGCAGGTTTTGGTGTACAGACCATGTGGCCAGTCCCAGCCCGGGATGCCTGCGGGAACAGTTCCCTGAGTGTGGTCACTGCCCTGAATGCAGCGTTTAAAGGATCGTTAACTTCTTGTCTTGATCCCGTGAGGAGCTTTCCTGATGGGATTCAGCTTTGGGCTCTTTGAAGTGTTTTAGCCAAGTATTTACTATCCGACTGTATTACAGTGAATGCAGATCACTCACCCTGCTGGCTTTAATCCCTGTTCCTTGGCCACATTCCAACCAGGGTGATTTCATTTTCCTCCCGCTGATGCCTGAACTCCTCGTTGCCGTTTTAAAACTGCTCCTTCCCTCGTGCGACGTCATGTTTGTGCACGTTGGGAACCATCAGCTCCCTCCATCCCTGGTGCCTCCCAGGGCAGGGGTTGCTGAGGTTCCTTGTGTGGTGGAAAAAAACCCCACAACCCAAGAGGAATTCTGCCTTTGAAATCCGTGCTGGGGGAGAGGGCTGGGCTGGAACCTCATGGCCACTGGGGCCAGGGAGAATTCCTCTGGGAGGACTGAGGACAGGAATAGCCCCATAAATTCCAGCTGACAAACTCTTTCATGTGAACTCCATCCAGAGAGGCTGAGTAGGTCCAGGTGTAGCTGGAAGAAACAGCCCCAGCCGTGAGGATGAGGAGCGTGGAACAGGCACGGGGCAGCTCGGGAGTGGCAGGAGGGGCAGGGAGCCATCCCAGGGCTGTTTTTACCCCCACCCCAGTTCCTCTCCCAGGAGGTTTATATTTAGCAGCCTGGAGCTGCTGGCATTCCTGCAGGAAGCAAAGGAGGAGGGAAGGATTGGGGTTTGTGGAGCAGAGTTTTCTGCAGGTCTGGAGCCGACATGAAAACGTGAGCACAGGAGCCCCTGTGGCCTTCCTTTGTGCCACTTCAGCAGGGTCAGGAGCGAAACCTGGCACTGGTTTTCCAGGTGGGTTTAGTTTCCTTAGGTACCTGCAGCACTAGCAGCATTTCCACACACCAGCAGTGCCCTGGTTCAGACTCACTCGGGTTGCAAGGTGAGGAGTCACATTGAAGGCGTTATTTGGACCACGAGGAAGGCACCAGCACAGAGACTTTGTTAGTGCAGCATCACCAGTGCCACATCTTTATTGTCAAGGCACGTCTCTGTAGTGCTGAGGAAACATTTCAGTGTCTGGAGGCTGAAGTGGATGTGTCTGTCATCCTCCAGCCTCCCTTCCCACCCCCAGCAAACACCCCAGCCCTGATTCCAGGCGGGACTGAGCTTTCAGTTTTAAGGTGTTTGCAGCCTTAGAGGTGGGAGCTGAGTGGGGGTGGCTGAGGCACGTGAGTGCCCAGGATCCAGGTGAATCCCGGGGATTTTCAGGGGATTCACCCACTGCAGGGTGCCGTGCCTCACCGCAGAGCCTGGCAGGCACCCAAACGGGAGTGTTTATATTGCTGAGGGATAATCTGCTAAGCTTTCAGATGCAGGCATGTCAGCCCCAGTGTTCCCGTTGTCCTGGCGACCGGGATGCGCCGGCTCCCGGATGCGGTGTCTGATCGCATCAGCCCGGAATGCGATCACCGTTTGTTTGTGCTGATAAGCCTCAGAAGGGGCTGGGGGGGGAGAGGGGACAGCCAGGGAAGAGCAGGGACACCCAGGAGTAGGGGGCAGACCTGCTCCAGGGGTGCGGGGAAGGCTCGGGATGCGTGTGTTGGTGCGGGAAAGAGCCCCTCGCAGCAGGAAAGAACCTCTGCGGGTAGTTTTGGTGCCTGTTTGGTACCAGGGGTTGATTTACCCCTTCAAGATGCTCCCTGGAGTCGGTGGGTCAGAGCAGCATTAAGGAGAGGAGAGCTGTTAATGGAAAATCCCCTGCCAGGCAGGTGAGAGGATAAAGGATGCTGGAGGAGCATCCCTACACTCCTGGGACTGGGGAGAGGGACAGACCCAAACCTCCTCAGGCCTGGGACTGGAAGGGACAGAGCTGTGGCCATTTAGGAGTGAGATGTCCCATCCCTGGAAGTGTCCAAGGCCAGGTTGGACGGGGCTTGGAGCAACCTGGCCTAGTGGAAGGAGTCCCTGCCCATGGCAGGGGGTGGAATGAGATGACCCTTAAGGTCCCTTCCAACCCAAGCCATTCCATGATTCCATGACAGCAGGGAGCTGCCAGGACAGCAGGCTGGGTGCTATGTCTGTGCTGGGCAGGAGGAACAGCAGCAGGGCTGGTGCTGGAGCCCAAACCCTGCCCAGACAGCACTTCCAGCCTGATCCCATCCGTGCTGCTGGGGCTGGGAAGAGCCAAAGCAGGAAAGGAAAGGCAAAGCAGTGTCCAGAGCGAGCTCCTGTGGCTGCTCAGACCCAGCACACTTTGCCATGTGCCCCTGGAGGGTTTTCTTCCTTTAAGGGTTTTATGGCTTTAATCAGATCTCCAGCTTAAGGCGACTCTAATGCCCATCAGGATGAGTCACTGGGGCTCACGAGGAAGCTGAGAGGTCAAAGCATTTCCCTGTGCTGTGACTCTGGGGGATCCCCCCAGCCCAGACTGGCTTCACTCAGCTCTTTGCTGCTGGCTCAGGAAGTCTTTTGTGCAAGGGCAAAGCAGACACCAAACTGCCAGGGGAGAGGGGCCTCCTTGAACAGGGAGGAGTGTGGGATTGAGTCTCTTCTATTTACTCTTCCTTGTATTTCTACCCTGCTCTTCCCCGTTCCAGGCATTCCCGGAGTTTCCAAGGATGCCATAAGGCACAGCCTGTGTTGGTGGTTGTGGCTTGAGTGTGCACAGCCCTGTGCTGGGCTCAGAAAAGAAGCTCCCTGCACCTCTTGACAAATCTCTAGCTCTTAAAAAATGAGGAACCCAATTCCCCTGGTGGCCACGGGGCTCCTCCTCTGCTCTGACACAGCAGTGGTGCCTCAGAGATGGGGATGTCCCAGGGGATCCCTGCAGGTCCCCAGATGGGGGGAAATTTGGGTTGGGATGCTGCCAAAGCCCCAGAGAGCAGGAGCTGTGGGGCCGGGGGGGGGGGAAGGAATCCTGTGTGTTGTCCAGCCCTCTCAGCCTGCTCTCCCTTCCCTGCAGGGCTCTGCCATCCCTGGCAGCACGAGGGAAAATGAACAAGATGAAAAACTTCAAGAGGAGGTTTTCACTCTCGGTTCCACGGACAGAGACCATCGAGGAGTCACTGACAGAGTTCACAGAGCAGTTCAACCAGCTCAACAACCAGAGGAATGAAGGTAAGGAGCCCCCAGGACCCTGAGGTGGTGCTGGGGCTGGTCAGGAGCATCTGGGGTCAGTGCTGCCAGCAGGGCTCTCCTCTCCAGCCCCCAGGCCGTTCTCTGGGGGGTGTGTGGAAAGTTCCTTCCCCTTCCTCGGTGTTGCTTTCCCCATCCATCCATCCACCAGGATTAATAACACCTTGTCATTAAATGTGAAGAGAGATTTATACTTGCACAAGGAAAGTCTTATGGGAGGGAAAGGTATTTGCACGAAATGGGGAGGAATGACACATCTGTGGTTAGGGTTGGGAGTGGGAAAGCGTGGGATCTCCTCCTACCTGCCCCAGAGTGGGCTGTGAGCCCTCTCCAGGGCTGCAGGCTGATGCTTGCCCCAAGCCAAGGGGGCTGTTCTCGCTCTCCTGGGCAGCACCCAGAGGTCAGTGAACCATCCTGGACCCACAGCCTTCCCCTGGCAGGCTGTTCTCAGGCTCCCAGGGAGGTTTAGAGTTAACAGCTCCCTGAGCCCAGCGGGCACATCCCCTGTGCAAACAGAGCAGCCCTCGGTGCAGGCTGGGGCAGGCTCTGGGGCTGGGGGGCAGAGCCAGGGAGGGGCAAGGCTGGAGGCACAGAGTGGGAGCAGCTCGGGCAGGCAGAGCCTCTGACGGGCTTTGGGCACCGGCTGAATTTGGGCATGGCCCATCCAGGGCTGAATTTGCTGCTGTGGGTGCGAGGCTGAGCCACTCCTGGCCACCCCCTCGTGCCACTGCTGCCTCCTGTGCCACAGCCCAGCCCCTCCAGGCTCTGCTCAGCTCAGGTTCCAGCTCTGGTTCCCCTCTCCCTGCCGGAGCTCCCCTGCCCGTGATGGGATTTCCTGGCACTGGGGGAGGCACCAGCTCTGTGCCAACCTGCTCCAGAAGGAGAGGTGCAGGGACCTAATTCAGAGCTGGCTCTCCTCGCTCCCGCAGCCCCCCAGGCTCCTTTATCTCTCCACACAGCCAGGCTGCCCTGAGCAGCGTCCCTCCTGCCCTGCTCCCACACACCTCCCCTCACACCCCAGCCAGGGCTATAATTAGACCTGAGCCCTTAATTAGATGTGCAGAAGCTGTGGGGATAAAATGGGGCAAGGCTGAGGAAGGCCTGGGTGCTGAGGGCTGCTCCTGCTGTTGCCCTCCTCGGGGGAGCTGCGCTCTGGCATTTGGGAGCTCTGGCATTTGGGAGCCCGGGCTCCTTGTCTGTGCCCTGCACCCAGAGAGGTGATTTCCCTGTTGCTGTGCTTGGATGGAGAGTCAGTCACGGGTCTTCCTTTGCCCCTGGATGGCAAACCAGTGCAAGCAGCATCTGCCAGTCCCTCCCTGGGCTTTTGGGCTTGCTCCTGAGGTAGCCCAGGAGAGAGTAAGAGCAAAGTCTGAGCAGAGCCTGGGGCCAGGACTGAGGGTGTTCCCAGCCCGTGGTCAGAGGCTGGGCCAGCACTGGACTGGGATGTGGTGTGGGAGATCCTCCTGTCTGGACCAGAGCTAGTCCATAATGAGGTGTATTAGGAGATTCTCCTGCCTGGACCCAGGAATGCATCAGGGGCTCTGGGGGCACAGCTGCTCCTTGTGCAGCCTCGAGCTGTCCCAGGGCCAGCCCCCACTGACCTTCCCCATCATCCTGGCCCCCTCCCCAGCTTTCCCTCCTTGGTTCCCCCACCATTCCCTGGTTGCCCAGTTGCCACTTTGGACCCCATCCCTCTCCCACACAGCCCAGGCCCTGTCCCTCACCCCAAACCCGCTCCCTGCTGTGAGATCCCGTGATTAAGTTTCCCGTGAGGATTGTAAACAACCTGGAGGAGTCACCTCCACGGTGCCCTTAATCCCCTCTGCTGGTTGTTTGTGGAGGGCCCTGACAGCCACATTTGTCTGATAATGAACCCTCCTGGCTGGGAACTCATCACCCACATCCCTGTGCCAGGGGGCTCCTCAGGGGGCAGAACAGAAAGGGGTTGTGCACCAGGGTTTGTGGTCAGGTTTGGACCTCGTGGGAGCTGCCTTGGCCTGCAGAGGGCTCTGAGTTTAGTTCTCTCTGAGGTCTTGGTCTGTTCTAGAGGTGGAGAATCAAAATGCAGAGAGGGAGAATAATTTTGTTCCAGGTGTGGGGAGCAAGAGCTGAGCCTGCAGCCGTGGCAGCAGCTCCTGTGCTGCTTCTCTTGCCCAGGGAACAGCTCCACTGAAGGTTTCACCTTCTCTTTTAGGACCTCTGGGGTTGCCCCTGGGCTGTCTCTGCCCGTCCCCGGGGCTCCAGACCCACCTGCAGGGTTCTTGTCTCTGCTGGTGACAACCAGTGATGGCTCAGGCGCTGTGATCACTGGCTCCAGAGACAAGTGCTAATCACAGCTCAGATCAACACATCAGTTTTCCTTTCCTCACCTCGTGTAGCTCCTCAGGGAACTGCTGGCAGGTTTTATGTTCCCTGCAGCATCAGGAATCAGGGGGTAGCAGCATTCCCAGGTCATGGCAGTCTGCACATCCCATAATTCTCATGACCTCGTTCACAGAGGCCGATATAAAACGAGTTAAAAAAACAGGCTGGAAAAGCAAACAGCTTTTCCCGTCACAGGCAATGTCACCTTGGTGGAGCCACACAATGCAGACTCCATTTTTTTCAGAGGTATCAGGTCTTGGTGTCTCCCATCTGCTTTGATAAAGGACTTGGTGGCATCAGCTCTTAACCCCTGCCAAGGCTTTGCCCCAGAGCAGCTGCTGCCTGCTCTGTGCTCCCAGGCCTGATATGGTTCAGTATTTGGGCTGCAAAGGTAATCCCCCATTTGCACCGGCATAAAACAGAGCCAGGTGTGACCTCGGGAGCACAAAGCCCCAAAGAGGTGATAACGAGTGGGTGGGAGGAGGATGAACAATCCCGGGTCTGAGTGCAACAGAGCCTTGAGAGGAGAGTTCACACTTAGCAAAAGCAATTAAGAGTCAGGCAAGCAGCGGAGGGCTCTGGCCCCTTTCCTTGGGAGATCAAAGCTTGTTTTGGCAGAGGCTGTGTTTAAATATATTTCTGGAAGGGCGGGAGGCTCGTCAGAGGCAGCCGCCGTGTCTGAGCTCTCGCTTTAATTTGCTTTGATATCGCAGGCAGCCTCATTATTTGCAGGGTGTCAGGGCTCTCACGTTTGCACGCCCACAGCTTCACATCTCCCCCCTTCGGTGAGCACCCAGGAGGGCCCTCCAAGCCTGGGGTAACTCCGGTCCTTGGGGAGAATCCCGGTGGGAGTCTCTGGGTGTCCCTTGGGACAGCCCAGGGTGTGCTGGGCTGATACATCCCCCTCCCCACTCTGGCCCCAGGGCACCCAAACACCTTTCCCCTCATCCCTGCAAGTCTCCCGAGTGTTTTACCTGCTTTTCCCATCCCCTTTGGATGCACTGGAATATTCCAGGCTGTCGATTTACCTCTAACCTTGCATCTGATGTTCGTGTAGATGAGGACATGGACACTGATCCAGGGGTTCAAAGAGACAGTGCTGCTGGTTTGCACCTTTCAGGACAGGCTGCACCTTTTCCCAAGCTTTGGGCACTTTTTTTACCCATGGGAACCAGCACAAATTCACCCAGAACATCATTTAAGGTGGATTAGTTGGAGTCCATTCAGTCCGATTTTAAATGGCTTTTGGGTTGTTGGGTTTTTTTTTGCAGATAATGTTCTTAGGAAATGAGCAAGTGAAACAGGATTTGATCCAGTTTAATTGATCCACTTTAATTTCATACCTGTGGTTAATTCAGGATGTTTCCTAATTGTTCCAGACGGACAGAAAGGGAAGGGACCAGAGGAGCAAAGAGGGGTGACTGTACCTTGTTTTCAGCCTGTCTGCCCAAAACCTCCTGGCACTGTTTCAGATCCTCTCAAGCCCAGTGGCACGGGCTGAACCCACCCCTTAGGTGTGGGCTGCCCCCCTCCCAGGCCGCTTGCCTGCCACCTCTCATCCATCAGCCAGGTCCCAGCCCTGCCCTGCACCCCCTGCAAACCAGCCCTGCCCTCAGCCATGAGATCATCGCTGGCTCCCGAGCACTCGGGCAGAGCCAGCGATTGTGTCTGTGCAGCCCGGGGGGAGGGCTGGGCGATGGGCAGGGGCCAGCCCGGGGCAGCAGGAGATGGGAGGTGGTTCTCCTCCATCCCAGCACACCCCGTTTAGTGCTGCCTCCCCCCTGAGCAGCCCCTTGGAAACAGAATCCAGGTGAACCAGAGGAATCCACCTCACCAGGTGACCTGCCTTGAACCCACCAGTGTTTGGCTGGGTCTGTGAGTGTCAGAGTGTTCCTGCCAACCAGCTGCTAATTACAGAGCCAGGAGGTTTAGGTGCAAACCTCAAACTGGGGACCAGGAGGAGCTCAGTGGCTTATTTTGTTCTGATTTCTGCCTCCTTTCAGGGTTTCTTGGGCTCAGAGAGGCTTCACACCTGGAGTCCCAAGAGAAGAGAGTAATTTTCCTGAGCTGCTCTGGTTTTCAAGAGAGCTCTTGTGCTTCTGGGGGCTGTGCCTGGCTCAGGGTGGCAGGTTGGGGCAGGAAGGTCTGGAGTGGTTTGTTTTGCAATAAGTGACTCTGCAGCCTTTAATCCCAAACTCCTTCCAGGAAATGGTCACATCCTTGGAGGAAAGTGCCCTGCTGCCTTTGGGTCTGGTGGTTCCCAGGGTAGATGAGATGTCTGTGTGTGTCTCCAGGGCTCTCTTTCTGGTTTTGCTTCTCTATTGACCCAGCCCGGAGGAATCCACTTCAGCCGCCACTCTAGCAGCTCCCCCTCCTGTCTTTTTGTCCTCAGACCTGGCCCAAGGGCACCTGCAGCTGGGACAGCTGGGCAGGGAATTCCGGGCCGACAGCAGCCCCCTCTCACCCTCAGAGGTGGAAGGGCAGTCCCCGGTGGCCGTGAGGTACCGCAGCAACAACCAGCGCCGCTTCTCCATGGAGGCAAGTGCTGCTGCAGGCTCGGGGAGGGCAGGGGGGACGTGGGAACCTCTGGCTGTCACCTCCCTGCTGGCTGGAAGAGCCGGTGTTGGGTTCCTGGGGGCCTGGCAGTGTCAGGGTGCCCCTGAGTGCACTCAGCATCACTCCCGTGGTACCTGACCAAGCCATCCCCATGAGCACACACACCCCCTCTTCCCTTTTCCTCTCACTGAGGATGCTGCTCCATCGCTTCACCAGCCACACCAGCTCTGGCTGGAGTCCTCCTTTCATCACTCACTCCTCTGTCCCTCTCTGCAGGACGTCAGCAAACGCCTCTCCCTGCCCATGGACATCCGCCTGCCCCCCGAGTTCCTGCAGAAGCTGCAGATGGAGAGCCCGGAGTTCCCCAAGCCCCTCAGCAGGATGTCCCGACGGGCTTCCCTGGTGAGGCTCACCGTGCACCCCGGCTGTGCCAGGGGAGGGGCAGGAATCAGGAGGAATTTCTTCATGGAAAGGGTGGTCAGGCCTTGGAAGGGGCTGCCCAGGGAGGTGGTGGAGCCCCCACCCCTGGAGGTGTCTGAGGACACGGCAGTCAGTGCCCTGGGCTGGGGGACAAGGTGGGGATCAGGCACTCAGTGTCCGAGGTCTTTCCCAACCCAAAGGACTCTGTGATCCTGAGATCTGCATCCCCTCCCCGTTCACACCTCAGTGCTGCTGTGCAGCTCCCCAGGCCTGCACATTCCTTCACTCACCTGTGCACACACCTGACTGTCCCCTTGGCCTGGCTCCTTCCCCGTGGGAGGAGGTGGGAACCCTCCTGCAGCTTGGCAAGCGCTGGAGCCTCTGCTGGTTGAAATGCAAATGTGGATAAATAATGAATTAGCCTTTGCATTAGTGCTGGCATTTCGGTTTCTTTTGCTGCAGAGCAGCAGCATAAAGTGGGAGCAGAAACTCTGTGCCCTGTGCCCAGCTGTGCAGGGACCTGTCCTGCTGCCCAGGAGCACCCAGTGCTGGACAGGTACCACAGCCAGGTCTCAGAAGGCATCTTTGGACCCAACATGCCTGCTCAGGAGGAGGAGGAGGGCAGGAGAGCTTGCATTTACCTGCCTGTGCTGTCTAATCAATAAGATAGACACAGCCAGAGGGTTGTGTCATTAATATTCATGGTCCCTCCATGAATAAGGAATGTGGCTCCAAGGGTTGTGCAGCACCTCCGGATTGCAGCAGCCACTTCATTCCCCTGCTCAGGACATGGCCCCTCCCAGGGCACCCAGAGGGTTTGGGGAGTCCATGGAGTAAAAATCCCGTTGTTCCCCTGGGATCTGCTGGTTCAAATTCAACCTGAGCCAGCAAGAAGGCAGCTTCCCAGCTTGGGAGAGCTTGGTGGGCTGTCAGTGGGGCAGAGCTGGGGAGCTGGGGGTGCTGCAGGAGCACCCCAGACCTGGGGCTGCTGGTTCTGCCTGGGCACAGGGTGGGGGACCCCCTTCAGCGCCTCCCCGGGGTCCCTTTCCCTGCCTGCTGAGTGACAGCTGTCCACCCAGCTCCATCTGCTGGCGAGCAGCATGGAATGAGCCCTTGCATCAGGGCTGGGGGGTCTTGGGGTGTGCTGGAGGCAGAGCTGCTGGCCCGGGATTACAACAAGGGAATTGTATTTTGGGGGAGAACAGCACCACTTTATTAAAGCTTCAGGAGGGATGGTTTGCCCCGTGCCTTGGAGCCTGTTCTGCTGAGAATCATCCCTTTCCCTGGCACACACATGATCCCAGCCTGCTGAGGAGGTGCCTCTGTCCCCACAGAAAGCTGCAGTTTCAGGGGCTCTGCTGGGAGCGACAGCTGAATCCGTGGATTTGCAGGCTGCTGTTGCCACTGCCGGTGGTGTGTCAGGGTGGGGGGTGGGAGAAGGGGACGCAGGGGTGGCAGGGGAAGGCTGTGGATGCAGGTCCATCCATCCCACTTAAGCAACCAGTCGGTTGGGAAGGTTTTCTGATGGATTGCCTGCTCCAGGAAATTAATGGACTCGACGTGCTTGGATCAGCTGGCAAACACCTGCCTTGACTGGTCTGCCCCAAAGCTGTCACTGCCCATTGTCCCTGACCTTATCCCTGGAGGAGACACCCCCCCCCCAGTGATGTTTTCTCTCTCTCTCTTACAGTCAGATATTGGGTTTGGGAAGCTGGAAACCTACGTTAAACTGGACAAACTGGGCGAGGTGAGTATCCTATGAAGCATCCTATTGATTCCCCTTAAGGAATTAACTGAAGTCCAAAGGGCAGCTTGAAATGCAAAGGACAGATTTCTATAATAAATCCCAAAATCCAATAAAGCCAAATTTCTTCAATATCCAGAAACGTTTAAGACCAGGTCTCCCTGTGGAGTTCAGACCTGGCCCTGCCACTTCCAACGGTCCTTCCCCCACATGTTTTTGGAGATACCAGTGCTGTGCCAGCCTGGGAAATGGGCTGCAGGGCTTGTTCTCTGTCCCCCTCCCAGGGCACCTACGCCACCGTCTTCAAAGGACGCAGCAAACTGACAGAGAACCTGGTGGCCCTGAAGGAAATCCGGCTGGAGCACGAGGAAGGGGCTCCTTGCACGGCCATACGGGAAGGTGAGGGCGAGGGGGGGGGGCTTTTCCCCATCACAGGCAGATTTGGGGTGGGTGGTGCAGGGGGTACCTGTGGCCAGCCCCAGGTCCTGCTGCCCCAACCTGTCCCCTGCCCCCCAAACCTCGCAGTGTCGCTGCTGAAGAACCTGAAACACGCCAACATCGTGACCCTGCACGACATCATCCACACCGAGCGCTCCCTCACCCTCGTCTTCGAGTACCTGGTGGGTCTGGGGGGCTCTCTGGGAATGGGGGGACGGTGTCTTTCCGTGGGTGGGCGAGGGGGGGTCAGGGGAAGGACAGGCTGACCTGTGCTTCCCACTGCAGGACAACGACCTCAAGCAGTACCTGGATAACTGTGGGAACCTGATGAGTGTGCACAATGTGAAGGTAAAGGGGGTGTGCCCCCCTGCCCCTGCCTGTCCCTGCATGTGGGGAGCTCACCCTGAGGCAGGGGAAGGCTGGAGACCTCTTGTCCCTTCAGTTCAGCCCTCTTACTCCTCTTTGGCCTTTTTCAGCCTGTTCTGATGCTCCACCAGCATTTCTCTGGTCACTGCCACCCTAAATAAAACCACTGTGCATGCAGACTTTACTCACCCCCTTTTCTGTATCTCTGTGATGGGTCTGATGGGTCTGAACCCTTCCCTAGAGTGTGTCCCACCCCAGGCCAGCTCGGAGGGGTCTTTCCTGGCCATGAGTTTGGGATACCTCGAGGCAGGTTCATTTTTAGAGCCTGTGTCCCCGTGCTAAGTGCAGACCCCTTCTCCTCCCCGCAGATCTTCATGTTCCAGCTGCTGCGGGGTCTGGCTTATTGCCACGGCAGGAAGATCCTGCACCGAGACCTCAAACCTCAGAACCTGCTCATCAACGAGAGGGGGGAGCTCAAACTGGCTGATTTCGGTAGGTGAGCCTCTCCAGGGAAGATGCAGCGTTGGAAGAGGGGTGCAGCTCCTTGATGCCCGTCCCTTCCATCCTCAGGACTCGCCAGGGCCAAGTCAGTCCCTACGAAAACGTATTCCAACGAGGTGGTCACGCTGTGGTACCGACCCCCCGACGTCCTGCTGGGATCCACGGAATATTCCACCCCCATCGACATGTGGTGAGTCACAGCTCCAAACCTGGAGCTTCCCGGGCTCTCTGGGATGGGGAGGGGTCAGGCATTTCCATCCACACCCCCACAGTGTTGGCTATGCCAGAGGGTGGGGGGCTCTCCCAGAGCTGTTTTCCATGTCCCCTGGGGGTCGAGGTCTTCAGGGCGTGCTGTCCCCGTCAGGGTGAGCGGTGGATAGAAAGGACAGAGCTCCTGGAGGTCATTTCCCTGCTCCAGGAGCCTCATCCCTGCAACAAGGGGGTGGTGGGGTGGGGGTGCCTGTGGGGTTTGTCCCTCCCTAATCCCGGGGTGTCTCCCGCCCTCCAGGGGCGTCGGGTGCATCCACTACGAGATGGTGACGGGGCGGCCCATGTTCCCCGGCTCCACGGTGAAGGAGGAGCTGCACCTGATCTTCAGGCTGCTGGGTGAGGGCTGTGCTGTGCCCGCATCCCCACGCGAGGGCAGTGGCTGCCTGCGGGAGCGGCGGGAGCGGCAGGAGTGGCGGCGCGGGCACGGCCGGGATGGGGTGGGATGGAGTGGGATGGGGTGGATTGGGGTGGGCAGGGGTGAGAGGCGGTGGGCTGGCAGGGGATGGGGTGGGCAGAGGTGTGCACACGTGCTCTCTGGGGTGGGCAGAAGGGAACAGGGGTGGGCAGGCACGGGGTAGCACGGTTGGTGTGAGTAAGGGGTGGGCAGGGGTGGTCTGGCACAGGCAGGGGAGGGCAGAGTCTGCCCAGAGCCCCCCTCCAGGCTGGCAGAGGGCTGAGGGTGAGCTGCTCCTTGCTGGCTGCCCTGGGCAGTGCCAGCCACGGCCTCTCTCTCGGGGACCCCCACTCAGGAGGCTTTTCTTTCTGTACCAAATGACCGTGACGGGTTTCCCTCTGCCCCCCTCCCAGGTACCCCCACAGAAGACACCTGGCCTGGGATAACATCCAACGAGGAGTTCAAGGCTTACAATTTCACCCAGTACCGAGCCCAGCCCTTAATAAATCACGCCCCCAGGTACCTGCTGGAGCAGGGACACCAAACCCAGGGAGGGGAGCTCGTGCTGGGTGGAAAGGGGAGCCTGGGGAGACCAGTTTAATTTTGTCCTTGTGGTGCTGGAGGTTGCAGTGCCTCTTGCCCATGGGTGCAATTCTTTGACTATCTCCTGGTTTTATTCCCTCTTTCTCTCAGGCTGGACTCAGAAGGCATTGACCTGCTGACAAACCTCCTTCTGGTGAGTGGCAGAGCGGCCCAGGTGGGGTGGCAAAGGGATTTGCTCCAGGGAAGGTGCTCTGGCTGCCCTCACTGGAGCCGGCCAGGAGAGGAGCTGTGGCTGCAGGACCAGCCATGGCCCTACAGCTGTCCCAAAGCACCTCCCACTAAGGATGGTGACCCCTTTACCCTGTGTCCTCTCCCACACAGGCGAGAGGGCACAGAGCTGATGATCCGTGAGGTACAGCATGGCCAGTGCCTTCCCGTGCTCCCACGGCGTGTGCTGTGCCCTGTGCTGCTCCAAATGGCACTGGGAACTGCCTGCACTCCCCATTGCTGGCTCTGTCACCCAGCACGTGGCACTGCTGGGGCTCTCAGGCGGGCAGAGGTGCCCAGATGTGCACGCTGTGTGTAACGTCCTCTCTCTGGGGCTTTGTGCAGTACAGAGCCAAGGGCCGGATCTCAGCAGAGGCAGCCCTGCAGCACCCCTACTTCAAGAGCCTGGGAGAAAGGGTGCACCTCCTGCCTGACAGTAAGTGCTGCCTGTCCCCTCAGGAGGGGCAGGAAGGGTTGCTGGGCGGCCCCAGGGGGTGGTTGGCAGCCTCTCGTCTTTGCTCACTCAGGGTGCTCCTGCAGCGGGGTGGGGTGGGAGCTGGACGGCTGTGAGAGCAAGAAATAATTTAGGTGGGATGGGTTGGAGTAGGAGAGAGAGAGAGAAGAGCTCTGGTGAGGTGCCACACGGCAGGGCTGTCCCCCCTGGCTCCGGGTTTGTGGATCAGCTGGACTGACCCCTCTCTCTGCCCCCTCTGCCCAGATGCCTCCATCTTCTCCCTGAAGGAGATCCAGCTTCAAAAGGACCCTGGACACCGAGGCTCAGCCTTCCAGCAGTCAGGTGGGACTGGGGAAAAGCCCTCTGGCCTCTCCCAAGTGGTGCCAGGGGTCATGCTGGCACTGGGGTTACTCCCAGTGGGTCCCACGTAGGGAAAAGCCAAACCTGCTCCCTGTTACCTCCTTTAGTTGACAAATGACCCCTGGGACATCCTTGCTTGTCACCTACCATGGTACTAAAGCCACTTTTAGGTGTCCTGAGGCACAGCTCCCTCCTCCCTGGATGCCAACCCAGAGCACCTCAGGGCTCAGCTGCTCTGCAGAGTCACTGTCTGACCTCCCTGACCCATCTCTCTCTCTCTCAATCTCTTCCTCAGCCCGAGGGAAGAACAGGAGGCAGAGTATATTTTAAACCTGGATCTCATGTTCCCCTCGTCACCATGGAGATCGAAGCACTGAGAAAGGAGACGGCAACGAGCTCCCACCCGACCTCCCCCCTCCCCGCAGGATCCCCGCCTGGGGCAGGACAATGCTGAAGTGCCCTCGGCCTCAGGGTGTCCCTGTCTGTCCCCAAAGCCCTGGAGCTGCCGTTGATGGACCTGTGGCCTTGTTCCCCACTCTTGTTCTCGTGTTGTCCCCGTCAGACGTGAGCTGTCACCCCCCGGGGCAGGCGCTCCGGTGGGGACCTGCAGGACCACGAGCCTGTGCAAATGCACCCTGGGGGTGAGCTGGGCACGGGGGAGGTTCTGTGAAGCACAGAAGGGTTTGGTGGCTCCAAAGCTGTGGTGTTTGGCCCAGACAGGTGTTTCTGAACGCGTACCTTTTGCTCAGACCACCTGCTCTGCACCCCCAGGTTCTTGGGGTGGAGGGGGGGGACACTTGGCAGCCACGTCACGAGTTTCAGGCAGGACCCAGCCTGGCACTGGGAGGCTGCCCCTGGAGCACAGAAAGCAGGGCAGCTCTCCCTTGTTGCCCTTGCTTCTGTCCTGCAGAGCCCCTTTTTTCCCTCTCCCCATCTTTGGGCCCTGAATCCTGACTGGGATGGGGCAGCTGGAAGGGGAGGGCTCCCCGTCGCTTCCCCCCACAGCTCCCCCATCCTTGCCATCACCATGTTCCCAAATTCAGCCATTGGGAGAGGGGTACCTGGGGTGCAGGTACCTGTGCAGAGGAGGGGCCAGGTGAGCTCTGGCTCTGTGCCCTCCAACCAGCCTTTCCCAGGCACCCACAGAGCACCCCTTTCCTCATCCCCCACAGCCACGACCCTCTCTGACCCCACAAGTGGCAGGATGGGGGTCCCAGACAGTGTCTCAGGAGCACAACTCCCCCCATCCCATCCCTGAGCCCCCACACCACCAGGCAGAGCCCGAGTCCCTCGGCAGCGAAGCGCTGCACCCACCCACCTCATGCATTTCTCCCCGGAGGGAGGGGGAGAGGTGCCAAACCTCCCACAGCTCAGCTGTGGGCACCAGAAATAGAGCCCGAGAGAAGCAAACCATCCCTCGAGCCTCCCTGCCTGCCCTCTGGGTGGGGACTGTCCCAGCCCGAGGCTCAGACGGATGTGGGGACCGAGGTGTGAGGTGTGAGGTGTGAGTGTGCTGGGCAGGCTGGAGGCTGCCCTGGCTGTGTTTTCCCCTCCATACACTTCAGGAAGGTGCCAAATCCATGCTGAGTGAAGGGGCCCTGCTGCACCTCTCCCCCACAGCCTGCAAGCAGCCTGGAACGCCTGCAAGTGTGTGAGCGTGGCCACAAGTCTCTGCTGTGCATTATTCCCATCATTTCCTTGGACAGCTGGTGCCCTCACCCACTGGTCCTACAGCCCGTGGGGGTGACCAGGAGACTCTGGACATGGCCAGTGCTGTGAGTGTCACCTGGGCCTGGCCTGGCAGGGTGTGCTGGGGCGTTGGGGTGCCCTGCTCAGGGGGTGGTGGCAGCTCCCTGCGCTGCTGTTCCCCCGCCGAGCAGGGAGTGATGAGGGCTGCCTTCTGCTTTGCTGTGCATCATTTCCCCTGTGATCCTTGGAAAACACGCAGCAGGAGGAGAGGAGTGGGGACTCCAGAGAGGTCCCCAGAGCCCCTGGGATGACTCCTCCCCGTGGCAGTGCTGGATTTGCTCCCTGTGAGCTTCCCCACCCGAGCAAAGCTGTTAACTGGGGTCTGTCCTAGACAAGCATCCAGACGTCTGCATTGTTTGAGGTTTGCCCATCCCTGCTCTGTTCCCTCTCGCCGTGTCCAGCTTCCAGCAGGCTGAATAGCTCGTTAATTGCTTCCATTTGATAGGGAAGAGCATGAGCAGCCACCAGCCCCAGTGACGCATTTCAGCCTCGTGTCAGGGCCGTGCTCTCCTGTCTCCACTCCCGGCTCCTGCTGCTGGGGCTGCTCCCGGGGGGCTCCACCGAGGGAGGGGATGGCTGGAGCCAGTCTGGACTCTCACTCTGCCCTCCTTCCTTTCACGAGGGAATTTCCTTGGCATGGCAGGGATCTGTGGGGCAGACTTGCACTTCCCGGGGCTCCCATCAGGAATGAGAAGCTCAGCAGGCAGGACAGCTCAGGGGTGCAGCAGCACCTTCAAGTCCCTGGGGGGAGCAGTGCTGGTGTTCCCAGGGGAACAGAGCCTGGACAAGCAGGAATCCCCTTCACCCAGCCTTAGGAAGCCCGTTCAGGACACGTGTGACCAGCCCTTGTGCATTTTCTTGCTTGGTGTTGCCATCCCCATGCACTTGAGGCATAAACCTTCCTGGGCACTGGATGCCCAGCTGAGCCATCCCACATTCCCACTGGGAGACAGAACACACGGGATCAGGGTGGTCTCAGCTCTCCCTCCATGAGGCAGATATTCCTGCTGAAGGTCAAAGTCACCTACAGGAACCTCTGGGGGAAAGACTTAGCAATGGCCAGGAGGCATTCCCAGGATCAGAGGGCAAAGACAAAGGGCCTGGTGGCTCCTGTTTATTCTTTTGCAGCCTTTGCCTTTCCTACAAATCCTCCCTAGAGGAGACATTTATCAGCCCTGAGTGCCCCTAACAGCCCCAATTTGAGATAACCCCCTTTTGTTCCACTCATTTAGTGGGTATTTGACTCCCACCGAGGAGGGGAGAGGGTGTGTAAATATTTGGTGCCCCGCTGGGCAAGGTGAGCCCCGAGCCTCTGATCTCCACAGGCTGGGAAGAAAAGGAGCTGCAGGTTGGCAGGGATCAGAGCCTGGAGCCAAATGCCCCTTTCTCCACCTCTGGAATAGCATTCCAGTCTCCGTGAGCTGGGTTTATGAGGAGATGGATGCCCCCCTCCCCCTCCCCTGTGCCTGCTCCAGCAGCTCATCCCTGGCAGGATGAGCTTTCCCAGGTTTTGGAGCACCAGCCAAGCTCCCAAGTGGATTTTTAATGAAAATTCTGGGCATTTCTGTGGCTCTCCAGCGTTTTTTCCTCTTTTTATGGATTCTCCCATGCACTGCTTTGTGGAGCAGCTGCTGCTCCTGGCAGATGGGGAGCCCTGACAAAAGGAAACTGTTGCTTTGTCTTCCACACATTTTATGTCGAGTTTTTTTGTTGTTGGTGGTGGGTTTTTTAACCAGTTCTGGTGGGAGATGGGAGTTTTGGCTGTGCCCTCAGGAAAGGCTGTGTTCTCTCAGCTCTTCAGCTCACGGCTGGGAAAAGGAATATACAAGTAAAGTGATGTGTAAAGCCAGGTCTGTGTTTGGGACGACAACAGCACTTGGAGGCAGAGCTGTTTCATCTCATTTTCATCTTCTCCATTCCCACGTGCACCCGCCTTTCCTGGCCCAACCCTTTGCCAGATCTAAGTTAAGATTTTAAACAACAAAACTACATTGTATCTTGGAGACTAAGGACTAAATAAATGCCTTTTTTTTTTCCCCTCTCCCTTACACACGAGGGGAAAAAAAAAAACCAACCACTAATTAAAGGGACATTTTCCCAAGGTTCTCAATGTTTTCTTTGGGGTTTTTTTCACCTGATCTCGCCTGACATCTGCCTGATGGTGCTGCCCCAGCTGTGCTGCACATCTGCCCTGTCTCTCTGTGCGCTCAGGTCTTGTTAAGAGCTGATTTTGGATGTCCCTGAGCCCCCCCTGCGAGCGAGGTCTGGGCACAAACACTTCTGAAAGCCACCTTCTGGCTTCTTCATTGCCTTCCTCCATCCTCAGCATCGAGCTTGTCCTGCAGCAGGAAAAACGGATGCAAGTGGCCAGGATACACAAACTGTGAATGTCCTCTGGTGTGATTCATTTGCAGAAGACCAGTAATATATTTATCTTGTGTTGTACAGGCGAAAGATGCATTTTAAAAGAAACGGTTTTAAAGATTTATTCCAAAAGGAGCGACGATTTTTTTTTTTTTTTAAATAGAAAGTGTTTCTGGGATAAATGGAAAGGCACAAAGGAAAAAAAAAAAATAAAAGATTGTATCCATCTACCAACCTGGTGTCTCCATGTTTTATAGGAATATTTCAATTTTTGGTATGTCAGGTGTGACATGGACTATTTTGTGGCTCATTTTATTGCTAAAAGGCTGATATTAATTACAGTTGTGTCGTGAGCGCCCCAAAACCGAGACTGGACAATAAACTTTATGGAATATGGGATGGGTTTGCACAGGATATGATTTTTCTCTTTTTTTCTTTTTTTTGGTAGGAGAAGGGCCTACTTTGGTTTGGATTTTCAGGGAGGTGGGACTGAAGGAAGGGGGGGTTCATCTCAGGGGTGCAGGTCCCTTGGCAGGGTGAGCTGCTCCGTGGTGGCTGTTCAGGGAAGGCAGCTGTGCCATTCCATGCCATTCCATGCTATCCCAGTCCATGCCACCTTTGCTCCTTCCCACAGGATCGTTCCCACAGCCTTCCCTGCAGCTCCAGGACGCCTTTCCTGCTACCAGGGCACTTTTTGGCTGGCTGTAGGAAACTCCCAAAGAACACAAAAGGCACCTGACCTTTGCAGGGGGCTGGGACACAAGACCTGGGAGACTTGTGCGTAATAGGAAAATGTTTCTGTGGTGCCTTGCGTGGCTCCTGAGGCCCTAAATAAATATTGCCATAAGCCTATCGGGCAAATAAAGCCCAAGGCTGATGAGCCCAGCCCAGACTGGCAAACCAGCCAGAGGGCAGAGCTGGGGAAGGCACAGGGGAGCCCTTTTTCCCCCCCCCAGATCCAGCAGCTAAAATCCCCCTGGGATCAGAGTTATTCAGCTCCACTGTCCCCCCTTTTGCATATTCCTGCTGTCTGGCCTGTCAGTGCTGGAGAGAATCTCCAGCCACCACTGCCCTGGGAATGTGGGAAGAGGCAGAGCTGGGGCAGGAGGGGCCCTGGGGGATCTTTGGGACCAGGACATGGTGTGAGCCCGTAGCTGATGGGCTGGTTCAGGGAAGGGGACAGTGCCCTTCACCCCCTCCTTGGGCTGCAGCTCCAGCACTCCCAGCCTGAGTCACGTTCCGGGGGTGGTGTGGGCGGGTCCCCACTAACAACCTGTTTGCCAAACCAGTTCCTCCATCTGCCGCCCTCATTCCTCCAGCTTCGCAGCTGCCTCTGCTGCATCCGGGGGAATGCTGCCCAGCATCCCCGGCCCACATCCCCCTCCTGGCTTCCAGACATTCCCAGCTGCCCAAACAGCCCAAGCATTCCCTTAGGGAGTCCTCCTGCCTCTCCAGGATGCTCCAGCCAGGTCAGTGGTTGCTCCCTGGGTCAACCAGCCACACGAAGCTGGCGTGGTACCCGCTGCCCTCCACGAGATTATTTGTGTGTCACGGCATTCCTGGTGTATTTTGGGGGAGGTTCAGCCTGGCTGTTCCCTTGCAGCCACCCCCCTGGGCCGTGGTTTTGGTGCCCTCAAGCAGGAATCACAGGGCTTGCAGCTCGGCCGTGGTGGGCGTGGGACCTGTTCCAGTTGGGCAGCAGGAAAACCTGCAGGTGAGCACTTCCTCCTTTCAGACAAGTGTTACAAGATCTGTAAGAGCTGGGCCGAGATTTCAGGCCGATGTTTGACCTAGAAGTGGAGCCAAGCTTTGCAAATGACACCGTGTGTTTCGAAACTCTTGACCCCGAAGCACACGAGGTGAACACCCCTCTCGTGTGCCCATTGGGTTTGCTGAGCACCTCTCAGGCAGCCAACAAGGATTTGACTCATCCTGTGGGGAAGTTTACCTGGTGTTGTAAGAAGCATCCTGTCCTCTCTCAGGAAGGTTCAGTGATTCAGAGTTATTTTCTTATCTGCTCAAGCTTGGCTTGCTGCTGGGTTTTTTTGGATGCATCAGAAGTTCCCATCTCCAAACGTACACGTAGCTCTTGGACCCATCACACTGGGATGACTCTTGTGGTTTCTGAGGGTGTCAGAAACCAAAGACCCTTTGTGGTCTTTGGCAACAGAAGGACAAAGAAAACTTGAGCAACCTCTCAGCCCCAGGCCCTTGGCCAAGCTGCCAACACCAGCAAAAGCCCTGGGGGAGCCTGTCCCCAGGCACCCGCTGTCCCAACCCAGCTGGGGGGTCTCAGCTGGTTCTACCCCAAGGAAACCCTTAGAAAACCTACAGCTAGAGTTGGGTTCCCCCACTGTGTTGAAGGCTGGGCGAAGAGAAGCGATGCCAACAGCACAACAGCAGCTCTGAGCAAATCTGGGTCGAAGCCCTGCAGCCACTGCAAAAGCAGGACTGATCACGACAGAGGAGCTGAAAAGATGAACTGGCACAGTGTGAAAAATCCCTGCTGTGCCTCTTGCTGTCCCAGGGACGTTGGAGGGCACGGGGAGCCAAAGGAAGGTGTTCCCCAGGCGCCTGTTGGACGTTCAGGAGCGCACTGCTGGCTGCAGCCGTGCTGCTCCGCTCTTCCTTCATTCATGGTTTCGCTTTGCAGTTTGCAGCAAGTGCAAAGCTGTGGGTGTTTAATTCAGTGCAAGTACAACATTGATCTCAGTTTGGAAAACAGCCGAAAGTGCCTCCTGGTGAAGCTAATTCGGGTGTTGCACATACTCATGGTCCTGTGGCTTGCATTTTTATGAGCCACCCTCCCAGGATCTGGATCTCAGAGTGTGGAACCAGAAAGGATCTGTGCGTTCCTGTGCTGACTAACCCACCCACGCCTCGGTTCTTATTTGCAAGCATATCTTGCATGGTTTGTGTTATCCCTGAGAAAAGGGCCTGATATTCCTGGAAGCAACTGTTCTGGCATTCAGGTCAGTTGTTGGAGCTGGGGAAGGGGTTGTGCCAGTATCTGTCAGCTCTGGTGCCTGGATGCTGCCTTTTCACCTGGGAGTGGAGGATGCAGGGAGCCTGCAAAGGTGGGGAAAGCCTTGCTCAGCCATTTCATAGTTGGGAATTCAAGCCCCAGGGAGCTGATGCTCCCCAGTGATGGGGATGCAGCAGTGGAAGCCAGGAGCAGAGTGCAGGTCTCCCAACTCCCTGTCCAGCAAAGGGCTGGACAGGGTTCCAGAACCAAGATCAAGGTCAAGAATGTGGACTAGCCCTTTTCTTGGGGCAGAGCACCTGGTGTGTGGAAGACAAGGGTCTGCTGTTTCATCAGGTTAAGTTGGCTCCATGAACAAGGAGATGTACGGATAGAGGGTCAGGAGATGACTTTCCCAGCAGTGTTTTGATGGGAAGGCCTTCATTGTCACAATCCTTTCTCCCTCATCCTCCGCTTGTGGATGGGGAATTTTGCTGAGACACTTTGCAGCAGTGTGGCCTCTCAAATCTAGTTCTTGCCTGGCAGGGAGAGCCTGAGGCTGTGGCTTCCAGGCTGTGCCTCCCTCTCCCCTCCACCCTGCCATCCAGGCTGTTTAGGAAGGTGGTTTATCATGCAAAATGATAAAACCCAATTTCCGCCCTCGCTGTTGACTCACTCCCTGTCCCTGAGCAGAGCACTTCATTCCTTCCCGGCCCTGGGTTTTCCCATCAGTCAAACAGGACAAGGACATTGCTCCAGCCCTCCAGGCAGCTCAGCTGCTTCTCTGATTGTTTAATGGCTTCAGGTGCAGGTGCAGAGCAGCCCCAGGAGTTCCCAGTTTGGGGCAGTTGGGAGGGCGAGGGTGCAATCACCCCCCTGCCACCCGTGGTCACTGGGCTCACTGTGGTGGTGGAAGGGGACACTTCCTCGCTCCTGGGAAGACTCCAGTGGATGCCGTGGGCATGGAAGAACAAGGGCTTGGATGCAGTTTGGATTAGCTAAACATTAAGCTATGGCCAGGTGGAAATGAGCACCTGCAGCCCCGGAGCAGCATTCCTGAGGGCCGGGTCACAGGATGGGTGAGTACCTGTGCCCAGGAAGGGGCCTGGAGCCAGCCCTCCATCATGGCTGAGCTCCATCGATTCTGCTTTTGCCTGGAAAGAGTGTTCTAAAAATTGCCAGTCTTTCCTAGCTAAAGTAGGTGAAATATTTATAAACCCATCCTCTAGAGAAGACCTTTTGCGTAAGCACCGACTGCTCCGGCTTTAAAACCCGCGCCCTCCCCCCCAGCCCCGAGCCATCCTGTGCCTCTTATCAGGGAAGGGGCAACTTTAATTGCGTTTGTCTGGGAGGGTGGCACCTATTTACGGGCGCGGGAGACCGCAGGGACGGTCGGCAGCAGGGGAAAAAAAAAAAAAAAAAAAAGACAAAAAAGGGGAATTTCTGGATTTCCTTTAGGGCTTTCCTTTAGAACGGAGCTTGGCCGTGCTCTGCTCCTGTAGTTGAATACCGCGGGGTGCGTGGAGCGCGCAGAGGGCTCGCCCCACTTTTGGGAAGATGATGCGGGAACTGGGAGAGAGGAGAGGGAGGAGGTGGAAGAGGAGGACGAGGAGGAGGAGGAGGGAGAGGGACAGGCGATGCTCGGGATCCTTCCAGCCCCCGAGGGATGCTCCGGGGCGCGCCGGGGCGGCTCCGGGGGCGGCGGGGGATGGAGAGGGGCCCCGCTCCGCCCGGCCCCGGAGGCGGAGCCAGCGGCCGGCGCGGCGGGCTCGGGAGCCACATCCCGCAAAGGAGGAGCGGGGCCGGGCTCGGGAGCGGGGCGGCGGCGGGGCCGGAGCTCAGCGCCGGAGCCCATCAGCGCGGCCGCCCCGCGCCGCCGCCCACCATGTGGTGGGACGAGCGGGTGTCGGCGCGGTTCCGGAGGAACCTGCAGCCCACCCTCACCTACTGGAGCGTCTTCTTCAGCTTCGGCCTCTGCATCGCCTTCCTGGGGCCCACGCTGCTGGACCTGCGCTGCCAGACCCAGAGCTCGCTCTCCCAGATCACCTGGGTCTTCTTCTCCCAGCAGTTCTGCCTCCTGCTCGGCAGCTGCCTCGGAGGGGTCTTCAAGAGGACGTAAGCGCCTGGCAAACTCAGCGCACCTCCCGCGGGGGGGGGAATCGGCTCCGCACAGACCCCCCTCCCCTCCTCTCCCTTACCCCGGGTCGGGGGCGGGCAGCTCCAGCTCCCCCTTCCCGGGATTCACCTTCCTCCCGCCGGGTTTGCCGGGATGCAGCGTGGGAAAACCCTTCCCGAGTGGAGCGACCGCGGGCGTCGCGGAGGGTCCGCAGCCCCCTGGCCCGAGCGCTCGGAGGGAGGGGGATTCCCGGCGGGAGCCGCTCCCGGGGGTGCCGCTCTGCTCCTGGTGTGGTTCCATCCCCGTGGATGGAGGAGCT